GCATCTCATCTCATATGATCCTGACATTTTCATTACATTACATTGCCTTGTTATTAGTATTGCCTCACTTAGTCGATGACTTAGCGTGTGAGTGTTTCACACGTAGGATCCGAGAAATTAGACGAGACAGGTGAAGCAGCTTGACAGTATTACTCCTGCAACCATCAGATCAGAAGCAACTTAAGCAGTAGGTCATTTTGTTATGTAAATAGCAGTTGGCATGTAATTAAAGGGTTAAGTTGTGTATGCTCTGAATATTTGGTAAACTTATATTACAGTATGTATATTATTGTATTTTCTTAATATAAGATCAAATATTTTACTATTATTTATTAAGAGTTGTGTTTTAAAGTCAATGTAGTATCTCTGACTCATATCCGGGTCGGGTATGGGTTGGGGGTGTTACACCCCTAGCTCTCAAGACACATAACATGGGCATTTTCTTTTATACTTATCATTTCACATAACACATAGTTCACTTTCACATATCACGTAGCTTATATAACTTTTTGTGTCATTTTACATTTCTTGACACCTTGCTTATATTCTATTATTATGACTTCTCATAATTACATATACACATAATCTTATAGTTCATTCACATAGCTCATCATAAATTTTCATAAGATCACTCCCATTCATGTAGTTCACTTTCATATAATTCACTTGTACCTATTTTGTTTCTCATATAATCACATAGTCTTATAATATTTCATACGACTTCATACATCACATCACCTAGATACATACTCATAGTTATATAGTACTTAGATTATTCCTATTCACATCATTCATGGTCATATAGCTTCCATCACAAAGTCACTTATTTTATCTCTTATTCTCATATATTCATATTTATCATATAACACATAACCTATGTCATATTTATAAACATGTATCTTGTATTCTATGTGCATATCATCACTTTATATCCAAATCTCCTAAGTGATATATTATTCTCAGTTCCTTTTATAGTTCAATCTTATCTAGTTTTCCTCCATTCTCCATAAATCTTATAACTCTACTGCACAACTTCCCATAATTGATCATATCATTACTTACTTGTCTCATTCATGTTTCTATTATTTATATAACCTTTACACATGTTTACCTAATTCAGTTTCCCATCCTTATCACATATGCAAATCTTCTAATAAATTATCATCAAAAGCTCCTATAACATCTTCTTATGGCTTCATAGATATTTACCATATAATTTATCTTACATATCCCTATAACCAGTTCTATCAATATCTCCTAATATATATATATATATATCTATTATTGTTCTATAGGCCAATACTATTTAACTTATCTCACTTTTTATTTAATCCCTTAAGTTGATTTTACCAATTCCCTTATATCTAACTCAGGTAATTTATATCTTGTTCCATATTTTATGTCACTTTCTCTTGTTAACACATAAGTCGTGGGTACTTTACATAACTCGTGATTCTATAACTTATATCCCATGTTCATATAGCTCATATAACATTTTTCCTATAATACATAAATCATTGTCATATAACACATATCATAAAAATTCATACCACATAACATATAACACGAACAAAACATATCCACACAATATCAAACATAGTTATACTTCTACTCATACAATCATATTGGAAACAGACTTGTCGCAGGTCCAATTTCCATATACAATACGTATATTCTAATAATACGCACTCACCTGGCCTCACTAGTCAATACCGATCTCTTATCTTTTCCTTGATCGATCTTACTTGCCAAATATTCCGGAATTGCTTTAAGCTTAGAATCTACATAAATGTACATTTTAAGGCAATTTTTAGATACCTACACCTTGTAATTGGATATTATCAACTTAAATGAACCTATTAAACCAATATTCACAACTTTCCTTTAGGGGGTAATCGGTTCCCTACTGTGGGGGAATCAGTTCCCCTATGACATTCTGGAATTTCTGGTTCGGTTGAATGGGTACCGATTCCCATTGAATGGGTATCGATTCCCATTGAATGGGTACCGATTCCCCTAGCCCAGAAATCATGTTTTGAGCTCGAAAATCACTTTATTTTTAGCTCCACACTTCCTATTTCACTTCCTTTAATATTCTTAACTCATATATACATACTTAAACTAATTTATACCCATTTATTTCATCTTAAACCTCAAAATTCTATTCTCCATATAGAAATCAATAATCACACCAAATTTTCCATGTTAGTCAAACTTAATTCTAACACTTATAGCTTCTTATTCTCATAGATGACAAGTCAAATTCATCCTCTAAATTCATTTAAACTTTTTTATTCAAAATTTCAATTAAAAACTCCAATCTTTGATCCATATTATCTTTTTCATCTTATAGTTTTAAGATAACTTAAGCTTTCCTTAAGCTTAAGTATCATCTTATGATTAAAACCCAAGCTTAATTTCAACTAAAAACCAACTAATAAGAAATCTCACCTTTGCTCTTGGCTTCCACACGTGAAGAAGAAATGAGAAGAAGAGAACTCTGGAAACTGGAACCTTGCTCCCTTCATTTCCACGTGTTATATCCTATATAAAGGAGGAAGGAAAAAAATCTTTATTGTGAAATTACTATTATACCCTTCATCTAATCCAATAAGGAATTATTCATATCTAAATCATTGAACTTTCAACTATCCTACTTTTATCCCCAAATTCTAAAATTTTACCATTTAATCACTAACCCGGTATTGAGGATGTTACAAACATGATACGAAGAACATCCATATTGTTATGTTCCAAGGATATGTATTGATAATCGCATCGAAAGATGTCCCTTGTCTCTTTTGTTTTCAATAAAAAGAAAAGATCATATTTTCCATGAAAGTTTTTTTTTGGTTCTTCTCTTCTACCCTTCTCCCTTTGGTGGGGTTGGAGATGGAGAGAAGGATTTGAAGGTCAGGGTAATAGGGAGGAATGGAGTCGTTGCCTGTACGAGGTTGGATGTCAGGTTCTTTTGCATGCATAATGGAAGCTTCGGTTTGTTTGTTTGTTGTCTTTATTGAGACAGATGAAGATGAAAGAAAAATAGTAGAAATAAATTGAATTTTGTTTCTCTTTGCTGTATTAAGGTCATTTCTAGATAACTGATTCATGGCATTTCGCAGTAAGCCTTACACGCCTACGTTTGAATTCCATATATGCGTTTGGTGCCCGTTCATTAAATTGTGCAAGTATTTGGTAAATATTATTTTGAAATTTCACCACCATGATATTTGATGAAATTATTTGATTTTTTTTGTATTTTTTAAAAATAATTTATTTTAATATTTATATTTCATCATAAAGAACAAAGTACAAGCTCGAGTGAATTAATTTTTCGTATTTTGTAGATGTAGAGGAATGTTTATGTTATTTCATATGAGATATTTTATTTTAAATTCAAAATAGATTATAGTATAAGCTCTTAATTATCAACGATTTATTTTAATTTTTTCAAAGTTAAAAAATTTAAATTTATTCTTGATAATTTACGAATTTAGTATTAATCTAAAATATATTAATCGCATCTAAATAAAAAGAATTTTTACCTTTCAAAATAAATTTTGTATTTTTCAATATTTTCCCGTTTTAAGCACAATTTGCACGATTGATAAGCATAGATTTTCAAAAGGATCACGGTTAAATATTTAAACTAAACCTATAATTTTAAAGTTTCAATACGTGTATAATAAGGTACCAGTTTTATTTATTTATTTTTTGATACATAAGGTATTAATTTTGAATATTGTGATGGTTATTAATAGTTTCTCACGCTAACTGTATTTTTGAGTTTCATATATTTAAAGGATCTTTAGAAGGTCGTATCCCGTATGTCTAATTATGTGTTGATTAGGAGTGTCAAACATGAGTACTTCTAGAAAATGAAGAGTCGAGAATAATTTAGATCATAGAAACTTTTATTTTAATTTCTTTCTGCATAAATTAGCACTAGAGAATATGCTAATATTTTTTTCTAATTTAAATTAGTTCTACTTTTATTCACTAGAAAGTTTGTTACTTTGGTTTTATTAGTCGAGATTTTTTATAGACAGGGTGCAAAAGAGGTTGGTATTCATGCACTTTTCATTATGGAAACCAATATCCCATTGTGCATTTTTAATAGCAGAAAAGAAAACCAGAAGAAGAAACGATTATAGTTTGAGGAAGGACTCGGATATAAAGTCTTCAATGCTCCGACAATGCAAGAAAGCAGGCTTATGGAAGCTTTGGAGGAAGCATTCGAAGATGGGTCGCTTACCAAATCCCAAGACGTTGATCCTTTCGTCTTTGAATCTAGAAGGGCTATATTCCGTCCCGGCCCATAATGAATTATTGAACAGAAAACGAATCGACAAGACCTTGGATCGAGGTAACAGGTCAAGTTCGGGGTGTGAGCTAGTTCATATATTCTCTAATAACATGGTTGAAATAATCTGAGTCCTTGTACCGAGCGATAAGGTTTTGGGGACGGAAGTGGAGGTCGGAGGGGTAGGAAGATATGGTGGAGTGAGGGAGGAGGAGAATGGTAATGCTAGTGGGGTGACCGATCAACGGGTCAGGTAAACAGTCAAAGGTCTAGGTAAGTATTTAATGGTCCAACTCAACTTTATGTAACTCTTAATGACTGTTAACGGTGAGTAATTATTTTATTATAAATTATAATTTTTATGATTAATTTGTAATTTTTAAAAATTTAATGAGAAAAATAAAAACTTACTTAAACATCACTCTTAGGAATTCATTTAATGTTGTTATGTAATTTATTTGTTTCAAACGGTCAAATCAGACTTTTCAAACGGATATACCCGTCAAAGATAACACGAGGATCGAATTCGTGAATTTCAAAACGTACAGGTACTAAATTTGAATAAATTCGAGTAGAGATATTATTTCCACAAGTTTAACATAGTACAGGAGCAAAAGGCATATTTTAACCAAGATTTTATCACTCAATTGCAATGATTCGCCCTACTGATTGACAGTAAAACCCTTGTTTCCCGGAAATACAAATAAAACAACACTTTTCCACTCTTCCCATTACCCAAACACTATTGGTTGATTCCCTCCATTCTCCTGTTTATGTAGTATATTCTTTTGCTGTGAAGTCCCTTCCCAATGGCGGCCGTGGTTACTTCCGGTGATGTTCAAGAGATCGTATCCAAGCTCTCCTCGGATAAAGCCAAAGCCCGCGAAGTAAAACCCTTTTACTATATGCTTTCTTCTCAGTATAATCGGACTTGAAATTTGTTTTTATTTCCTTTCTTATTTTTTTTCTCATTCGCTCCGGTTTTGATGACCGATGAAAGTATTGTTGATTTTCGAAGTTCCTATTTTCGTGCATCGAAAATAAAGAGAAGAAGAAGAAGAAATAATTAGGATTTTAAGGTTTTCTTGGTTTAACGACTCATGGCATTACCTTAAGGATTTTTTTTTAAAATACTTTCTCACAATATATCGGGAACTAAAAGCTATTTTCATCATATTTCGTAAGGGACCATCAAACCAATTCTGCGTTCTTGTATTTTTGATTTGATACTTGAAAAAATAGAAACATTTGGATCGTTTTGAAAATGTGCGCATATTGTAGTATATGTGCTTACTCTGTTACTAACTGAATTTATTTTCGGTTTTTTTAAATTTTGTTGGCATTTTCAGGAAGGAGTAAAGTTGTTGAGTATGTGGCTAGAGGGAGAAAGATCAATCGGATTTTGTAAAGTTATTGGACAGAATACTGCAAAGCTTAAACCAAATGAGATTCCACCGTGTAAGATACATGTCTGCTTGTATTTTTGGCATGTTTTCTTTAGGTGTTTTATGAAAACATAGTTCGAATGTAATTGACATTGGTTATATTGTTATTTGCAGCTGAAACGTGGCCATTTCTTGTTAAGTTGCTTACACAGTGTGTATCATTGGAGATATCAGCAAGCAAGCGACGAGCACCTAAGTTAATATTTGCAAAAACTCTTAGAATTGCCATTCAACGAGCTGAAGATACTAAGCTTCCAGGTTAGCATCTGATTGATTTGCTCCTTATGATTTATACAGGATAAAAATATTTAGTTGCGTCTGTGTTATCAACAGCTGGGTAGTCTTGGATTCCTTTATCTTAACTCAAGGGTTGTGGTTTTCAGTCAAGTAAAATCCTTCATGTTAATGCCAGCCAATTGGTGATTTCAACCGAAAATAGAAAATTGTAAAACTACCTTGCAAATATCTGGTGGCTACTGCAAACAAAGTCGAAAGTTAGTCCTAACCTAAGACTTAATTTATTAAAGGCCATGCTACATCTTACTTTTAAAAGTCCATATTGATAGACCAGCTAAAAGGTTTGTGCTGGTTCCCTGCATTTTGTGCTTTCACCTATGCTTGGAGCATAAATTGATATATCACACCATTTTACTTTCAGGAAATATGTTTCCGTTGTTGTCTGTGGTTAAGACACTTTTTAGTCACATACTGGATGTGATAAACAATGTTCCAAGTTTTCAGTCTGAATATGGGAGTATATTACGACATCTTTTGCTGGTCAAAGACTACCGATTTCATATGAGGAAGAAAATTTATTCTGGTGAGTTTATTATTGTTTATATTAGAAGCACATATATTTTCCTGTTTTTATATTGACAATCCTTGTTTGGAACTGTTTAGTCTTCTCAAGTTTATTTTAAGATATTTTGGCCAGGTCTTATGGTTTTCTACATGGAAAAGGTGGTGACAACATTGACAGAGAAAAATAGCATCCTCCTAACCCTTCATTCTCTTCTAGAAAATCCTCCTGGAGATTTCACGGATAACCTTAGGGAAGATATCGTGAAGGGGTTTGTTAAGATATTTTCAAATATAAGGTATATGGTTGTTGAAATCGGCATGCTTTCATTTTTATTTTGCCTTCATCTGCTGATTTTAATCATTGTCTATAGAGATTGCTGAAAGTGATCTGATTACTGTTTTCCTTTGCTGCACATGTTCAGGGATGAAGAAAAGTTTCTTACAAGTTAATTGAGTGTATTAATACGTACTTGTTAAAGGATGGTCCAAATTTAAGTTGTCAGTCCTTAGAGATCCATAACGCTATACAACCAGTTGTTTCTCGTTGTTGGCTGACAACACGTGATAAGGGTCTTAAGGTTAACACTTATTCCAAATCCTAACTAAACTTGAATTTATGGGTTGTATCTTATGTATTTTTTTATTTTGTAGGATGCACTTGTTCTTTATGCTAGGTTACAGCTGAATTTAGTTAGAGGTGTAACTGATGGGAGTTTATTGGTTGACCAGCTCTTTGATGTCATATGTAAGGAACTAGATCTAAGCAATTCATCAATTCCTGGTACTTCTTGGTGAGTGTTTTAATCTTTATCCTATTCCTATTCTGGCCCCACCTCCCTTTTGTTTTACTGCCTGTTTCTTGTTATTTGATGTATGGTCATAAATTTAGGAGAGATGGAACCAAGGATGATAAGCTTGGAACCTTGAGTAGTTCTCAGCAAATTCTTGTGGAACTTGCTGCACTTGTACTGTATAAGGTATTCTGTTCTCATGCCTATATCTAATAGCTATATTTTTACTAGAACTGATGCTATGCTATACTCTCAAAAGTATTTATGTTTAGGTATTTCTTTTTCGATTTGAACTTACATAATTTCAATTTGCTGCATATTTGTGTTGAATCTTGAATTATATTTTTGAGTTTGGGTGGTGTTGATATAAATTCAACTAATTATTCGTTGAAATTGCCAGTTTTAGTGCTTGAATTCTTTAAATTTTAACGGCTTAGTCATTCTTAATGAAACATGACAGGAATGCACACATACAAGCGGAGCAACATCAAATGAAAAAGGTTTAAAAGAGAGAGTACAGCTGCCCGTCTAAAGGAGGCACTTGTGGAAGGAAATGGTTATGGTATGTTTAACCTGGAAAAAGTACTTTATACTACATATTCTGGACTGATTTGCTTTTTGATTACTTTTCCTTTGTTAATTTCCATGTTTGATTTCCTATTATAAAATAATTTTTAAAATATCACATGTTATTCCAGTGAAGCCTTTCTGAGCTTGTTTGACTATTCTTGTTTCATTCTATGCCATTTCCTTTTAGCAGGGCTATAATTATTTTTTTGATAGGAAAAGGGCCTCGTTAAAACCCCCTTCTTAACCGTCAAGCTACATAGGTATCTCAACGGACATTGGAAGGAGGAAAAGAGTGCCCAAATTTTATTACTAAAACAGAAAATACATCCAGGGTAAAAACCACCTTAAATACAAACCTTCCCCACAAAACAAACCCATCCAGGGCTATAAATGAACAAAGCTTGAATGAATGAACCTTTGTTCATTTCAGCTTGATTATTTTTAAGCTTATTTGTGTCCATTTATTTAAATTAGGTGTCCATTTTCATTTGTTTGAATTAAATGATCATGTTCACGAACAATTAAAAATTTGTTCATGAATTATAAATAAACAAATTTAAACAAACAAACAAAAAAATGAATGAATTTCTTATTTTTAGATATAATATATTCAAACATAAATACTAGTAATTATATATTATAAATAAAACAAAAACACAAAAAATAATAACACTAGCATTACAATAAATGAACAATAAACAAGTTTTGAATGAGCTTTAAATGATTTATCAAATGTGCTTTGAACTATTCATAAATGAGCTTGTTGTGAACATAAATGAACTGAACATGCTTTGTGTTTGGTTTGTTTAATGAACGAGTCTCAATATCTTGTTTATGCTTGTTAATTTAGCTTGATAAACAAGCATAAATGAATAGAAACACAATATTCAGGAACTATTTATTGAACACTGTTCATTTACAATTCTACCTTTTAGTCCCTTTTCATACATTATTTTGGTTTCTAATTTTATGTTAAAAAGGGTTATGTTGTTGCAAATCTGGCAACCTATTTCTAATTCTTTGGTTCTTTTACTTTTTAGACTTCAAATTGTTCTTGTTGCATATACCTCAAGTGACACCTTGATACTACTTTATCGTTGTACTTATAAAACTGTCTGGCATTGTTGTAAAATTATTCTTGATATGGCTAGTGTTTTTGCTCAATCTCTATGAATTGCTAACTTATGCTTATATTTCTCAATAATGCTGTAAGTTCCTCTTATTCTGTTTTCTGCGTAATCATTTAGTTGAGTTGAGCTGCATGGTGTTACTGTAGGAATGTGGCATTTTGTTATCTCATTCGTAATTACTACACTCGCATCAATAAGGATCTTTTTATCGACTGGTTTGAAGGCATTTGTGCAAGCTTTGAAAGGTACAATCAGGCATTTTATAAACATTGTCTTAATTGATTGGGTCTAGCTGTCTTGAATTCCTTTCTTTTTGGGAACATTTGATACATAAAAAGTTGTTCCTTCATATGGTTTCTTTATCATTATTACTAGCAATGACACATTGAAAGCTGCGAGGAACATTCTTTTTTGATAGAAGCTATGGGAATTTTACTTGTATTATTTTCGGTACAAGCGCAATACAAGCATGCATGCATGCTTAACCAAGTGCATGCATTTAGATATTCTTATTCTTGTGCATAAGGATGTATAGGATTGATAATTTCTGAAACTTGACTACACAACATTGTACTCCCATCGTCCCATAATTTGTGTCTCATATTGACTATGCACATGGTTTTAGGAGATATATTTGACCAAGGGAAATGAACAAATTATCCCTAAAAAGTGATTGATAGATTTTATAGATTTATTTTGATAGGTGCAAAAGAGTGGGACATACAAGGGTGAAAAAGGAAATATAAATGTTTTTGTTTGTTGACTTTTCAAATAGGACATTTTGAACGGGACAATTTTAAAAATATAAAGAGACACATTTAGTGGGATGGAGGGAGTATTAGTTATTGGACTTGCTTGCCTCAAGTTATTTCATCAAAGACATTGCATGTTCCCCCCGGAAGGTTACTCCCCATCTATTGGATCTTGAAGGTCTAGGTTCAAATCCTAGTATGAATTGGAATTTATGGGTCAGTAGAGGCTACCATCTATTGTACCACTCAAAATTCTTATGTAATTTTTTTTGGGGGGGATGTTCACATTGGGATACCCTAAAGCCTTCCATGTTGAGATTTATGCATGCCCAGTTATGAATTTTATGGTTGGTACATCTTCAGGAAATAATTTTCTTTTCTTTTTCTTGTATTATCTTAATTTTTGTGAAACATAACCTTGGCCTTATCATTGTTAATTCTTTTTGTTGGATCAACATGTTTATGTTACAGAATCTTGAATGATGCAATTGTCGGACATGCTTATGATGGTTTACTTTGGACTTTGCGGTACACCCTTCTGACAATAAAATTTAGAATTCTTGGAGCTTTTATTTTTTTGATTCTGTATATTATTGTCTTCACGATTATTAGATTCAACGATTGATTTATCAACATCAATTGTATTTAGCATGGAGTTTAGGTTCTACCTTTGAGCTTATATTTGTTACTTGCATTTAAAGGAGTCTGCAGGAAATCTCATCCATGATGCTGCCTTTGAAAGCTCAAGAGGAGATTTCATTTGGTTCATCTCGTAACTCAAAGGAGGTATATTTTTCATAGTACTCTTGCTTTTGGATTGTTTTCTGTAATTTAATATCCACAAGTTTCAGATATTGATTTACAAAAGGATACTCATAATTTCAGGCTGGCTTATTTATTTGTACTAAATTGGATTTTGGTGTCTACTCCTTGCTCCATGGCTTGATTGTGTTGATTGGTGTTATCTCACATTTTTAAAGTCTAGAAATTGATGTTACTTTATATCTAGGTCTGGTTTTTAAACCTGGTGCCAATTGACTTTGGTTTTTCTTGGATGCTAAACAGTTGTTACCTTGATTTTGTTTTGTTTGCTTCCCTTTTTTTGTTCTCCGTTCATTGGAATTGCTTGTCCCTTTTTAGTATTAGGTCTCCGGGGAATGTTATTTTGTGTTGTTCCATGTTGTTTACAATTAATATTGTTATGGTTTTAAATCTAAGTTTGACTCTACCTTTAGTTATTTCTCAATTAGAATTTGTTTCTTGAATCTAAGATTTTTGTAATGCTAAACTAGCGGTTTCTAACAAATGTGTGCTGTTTTTCATCTGCCGTGAGTTATATAAGTGAGTTTTTCATGCTGCAGTTTGAATTATAAAAGAGCTGGTGAATATTGGAGTTAAATGTTTTATGCTATCATTGTTGATGTTTACTATAAAAAGAAAAAAACACCAAAATGATTGAAGAGATATAGCTGAATATTTTCTTACTTTCTATTTGGGAGCTACTATTGGACAATGCATATTTTGTAGTTAGGCCATATTATTGAAAAATTCCATTTATGTTTGACATTCATGTTCTTAAAGTATTAGTAGTACGATATTAAGAAAGTTTTAGACGAGGCTTGATTTCAAATAATGCTCCGCCCGTTGCTAGTGCTTTGGCCTCACTAGTTAAGCACTCCATTTCCTCTTCCCATTCATAAACAAAAAAGAGTGCCAAAATTGTATTAATCGATGTAACTGGAACCATTAAGTTTATGCTGAGGAATAAGAAAGAATAGTTCTCAGTAGTTTTGTGAATGATCGCGGTAGATGCTTCTAGAGGCGGAAAAGCTTCAAAAGGAACCTTTCAAGACAACCAATCATAGCATTTTATTTTGCCATTTTAGACTTGGTAATTAGAGTGTATCATGTTAAATTTTAAGATGGGCATCCAACCAAAAATCAAATGACTAAAGGTGGAGATGTCTTTGTTGTATATGTCTCAAGATGTGCCCATGTTAGTTGACTTGGGATCAAATCGCCAAATTAATATTCCCCATGGTGTGCAGGGACAATGTACCTATCACATGTCATGAACGTCACATTTAGGCACAATGATTCTTACATGTGGTATGGACATTGTATGATAGGCATAAGATATCTTTCTTGGAGGAAACAATGATGTGGTATTGCCTACTCTGATACCATGTGAAAATTAAGATAAATTGATGCTTTGTTTTTATTGATGTGATGGTACATAAATTTACCTAGAGAGGCCATGTGGTCTAGAGTCTAAATTTGAATCAATCTCTTAATTATGGGGATTGATAATACCCATTGCAATAAGAAACAAATAAAATGGACATCTTATCTGATTACATACAAGTGCACTAAATAAAGAAACAAATACTCACTGCTGCTTTAATACATGGCTAAAATATTTACCGATCTTCAAACAATATTTGACTTATTTTTTAATTTTACCTTTTGCTTGATAGTTATTGTTGGGTGAGTTCTCACTTTTGGTTGGTTTGACTTGGTATTTAACAAACACTGCAGTTTCATTGTGGTTGGCAGCTAATATGGAATCATCTTATGCATGGATTGCCAACATTTAGCAACGTAATTCCAGTTGTAAGTTCTCTTACACCTTTCCCTCTTGCACTTTTTTGTAAGTAGTTTTAATGTTTTGTTCTCAATATGCACTGAAATTTGTTTGGAAAAAGAGCTTCTCAATGCATTATTGTTATGCGTCACATAATGATAATAGTAATTATCATATGAAGATATTAGTTTATTATTTTATTAGGAGAAACATTAGGAGATTTTATTTATGAGATTTTATATCATTAGGAGTCTTTTCTATTATGTTTATTTATAAGTATTTTATTTCAAGTAAACTATGTAACCTCTATTTAAAGAGGCTAATTGGGAATATAATTTAAGTCGGTATTTTATCATTCGATGAGTCCTATAGATCTTAATCATATTTAGTTTTTTTTATAGAAGTAGGAGGCCTCGTTAAAAACCTCCCTCTTAGTTGGCTCTTGAAAAGTGTCAACTTGCGGAAGGAGGAAAAAAGTACGTCAGTTTATTGATAATTCAATAAATACATAATATTACACCATTACACTTTAAACAACCATAAATAACAAACCCAATTAGTACATCTAGAAAACCCAAAACATTCATCCAATCCCCTCCATAGCTAATTTATCTGCCTCCCAATTACAACTCCTAGGAATCAGTCTAACACTAATCTCCCTAGCAGAAACTAAGGCCCCAATTTCCCCAACCAAAGAACTGAAAAATGAAGGAGCAGAAAACGACAACAAAATCCAATCAACTCCAGATTTGCAATCACTCTCTATGATTAGTCTTCCCTTCAATGCCTAGGAAGATGAAAGAAAAAAATCAATGCCTTTTTTAATGGCTTTCAACTCGGCCAAAGGAGGAGCCGAACCAACACCGTTAGATAAAGTGGCTAAAGTAGTGCTATTAGAGTCTTTCAAAATTTCTCCTATTCAGTTTCATAACAATTGCCAGTAATCATTTAATGAAATGTTTGACTTCTAAAAAGAGAGAGAGAGAGAGAAATACGTAGAGAGGGAGAGTCTCAAAGGAAAGTCAGTTTCCGATGAGAACTGGACGGTGTTTATCGACAATCTTAGTAGGAGGGTGTCCCGACGTACATTAAGGGATATTTTCATAGTCCATGGTTCTATTGAGAGAGTTTTCATTCCCAAAGTCACTAGGAATCCAAAATACAAATTTTCAACTTTTGCCTTTGTTCAGTTTAAGAGTGAGGATGGTTTGAAGAGGGCAGTCGAGGTCTTAAATGGTGTTCTGATAGACGGGAGAAAGATTTCAGTTGGTCCTGCAAGATACAAGGGAGCTTCTTCCTGGTTTGAGGGAAAGAATATTGCTTCAAAAAAGGTCCTCAGTCAGAACATTGCTGGAACATCCAATTTCAATCAGGCGAAAGTTTTAAACAATTGTTTTAGGGATATTAGGTCTTACAAAGATGCTTTGTTGTCAAACAAAAGTGCAATGGGGAAAAAGGCGAATTCATAAGGGGAAAGTGAAGAAAAATACTCTGGAAATGCATATTCATTCCGAAAGCTCAAATTGGGTTAAAAGGTCATTAACGGGGATTATTAAACATTCATTTCAGATTGAGTCAGTTAAGAAGGAAAGCAGTGGATTGGATCTTGATACCTATTTCTGCCCCAACGTTCTGTAGCTCTTTGGTTGAGGAAATTGGGGCCTATGTATCTGCTAGGGGTTTTATTATTAATTGGATTCCAAGGAGTTGTAATTGGGAAGCAGACAAGTTAGCAAAAGAGGGGATTGGTTGAGGTGTTGTGTTCTGTTGTTGTAGTGTTATGTATTTTATCTAGGGAAGTTTATTATGTAAGTTGTATCTTATGTAATTATGGGTTATTAATAAAATGAGGTACTATTTTCCTCCTTCCGCTAGTTGCCTCTTTCACAAGAGCCAACTAAGAGGGAGGTTTTTAATGAGGCCTCCTATTCCTATCAAAAAAAAAAGAAGGCGTTAATTAAAGATGGTTTTGAAGTCCAAATTACCAGATGGGGACATGTGTGGAATTCTTGTGTTGTCTTTAATTCATCGGAAGAGATGAGGGATTCTTGGTTGAAGAGGAAAGAAGAACTAGAGTTATGGTTTGATTGATTAGCACCTTTGTTGAATGATGAGGGTGTCCCAATGACCTTCTGTTTGGTGGAACTAGTGGGGGTTCCTCTGTTATACTGGAATGATCAGTTCTTTGAACAAATAGCAGGGAGATGGGGGATAGTTGTTGACATTCATGATGCCACTAGAAAAAAGAAGACCTCACAACGACGAAAATTTTATTAAGGGTGGAAAGTTCTTTTGATGTTCCGGAGGTGATCTCTCTTGGTTTATATGGAAGATCATTTAAAGTGTGCATCAAGGTGGGATCGACATGCCAGTCTTCAAGTTCTTTTTTTGGCAGCTCTTCGGTGGAAGGTTACGGTGGGGGACAGTTTGGAGAGAAGTTCACTGTAGAGGAAGAATTCAAATTGATGTCAGAAAGTGGGAAAGATACAGATGGTTCAGCAGAAGACTTTCGGCAAAAAGTTGACAACTGGTTTGACAATAGAGGTTTTTCTGATTCTGGGGGAGTTGGTGGGGAAAACCAGCCCCCAAGACTTTCTATAGATAGGAATGGCATTAATGGTGGACTGTCAGAAAGTCAGAGCATTGGGAGTATAAAAGTTGGTGATTATGCCGGCTTAGGAATCAGAAATTCAAAATTTTCTGGTTATGGATCACAGGCCCAATCAGATAATGAGGGACATTTTGGGCTTGTTGTCTTAAAAATAATTCCAGCTGGTCCAACAATTAATATAGACAAGTTTGGCAGAATGATTCACAAGCACAAAACTGTTAATTCTGGAAATTCTAATGAAGAGGGAAACAAGTCAGTTTCAGAGAAATGTCTTCAGGCTGGGTTAGGAAAAATTGGACAGCAGTTAATGTTGTTAGATCCAAGTAATAATATGGCAGAAAGCTTTTCAAGGGGGAGATCGCGGTACAGAAATAAAAAACCGTTGTCTTCAAAAAGTGTTTCGTTAGAGAGAAGGAAAACAAGCAGCTATAAGAGGGTTTATACAAGGTCTATAGACAGGAAATTCTGGCATGGGAGTGTTTTGAATGTTATGCCTAAAAGAGAGGAGGAATTGACCAGTAAGGAGGGGAGTTTTCAGCCCTCACAAGATGCTCAACAGATAGTGGAAGTGGAGGTTGCACGAGAGTTGTCAAAAGGTTATAGTACTATATTCATTTCGGGCTTTGACATCAGAAGAGCTAAAAGACACTTGTTAAGGGAAGCTTTGGAACATGTGTCCATCTCAACAATTTCTTCTTCAGATTTTTTCGAATATAATAGAGGAAGCCCTAACAACTTGGGAAATCAACAAGTTATTGGGGGTGTCCTTTAAGCAAAGGAAGGAGGCTTTTCTGGATAAGATTATCAGCTTGGAGAAAGCTTTGTGTAACACCCCCCAACTCGTATCCCAACCCGGATACTAGTCAGAGATATTACATTGACTTTTAAAACACAACTCATTACAAATATTAGTAAAATACTTGAACTTATATTACGAAAAATACAATAATATACATATAGTAATATAAGTTTACCAAAATATTCAGAGCATACACAACTTAACTCTTTAATTACATGCCAACATCCCTTTTCATAACAAAATGACCTACTGATTAAGTTGCTTCTGATCTGATAGTTGCAGGAGTAATGTTGTCCAGTTGCTTAACCTCGATCGTCTATTTCATCGGATCCTACGTGTGAAACACTCACACGCTAAGTCATCGACTTAGTGAGACAATATAATAATAATATCAATAAATATAAAGTAATTGCCAAAATGAGATGAGTTGCAGTAATAAGATGTATGTAAACAATGCAATAACCAAAACCATGTTTCTTACACATATACTTATCAAATTCACATTCATAAGTTCGCCTTAGTAAGTTCATTAGCCCATGATACCATACAGAGAACCTAAGGTATGTGAGTATTGTGAGGTTGTGCACTATGTTGTCACCACAGCTCGTATAATCGCACCTAAGTGCCACTTAGAATTGCACCGGAGTGCCGCGTAGAATTGCACCGTAGTGCCATATAATAATGTCCATAAGGACCACATATCATTCCTTAAGAATCATATACATATACCAAAGATCAAGTATGTGTCTCACCAGACCTCACACATGTTCCAAAGAATACATATATGTCCCGAAAGACCACATATCATTCCTTAAGAATCATATACATATACCAAGGATCAAGTAGGTGTCTCACCAGACCTCACACATGTTCCAAAGAATACATATATGTCTCGAAGGACCACATAGACCCTCTACCCTTGGCATGCCAACTATACCTATAGTTCTCATTTACATAACATGGGCTTTCACAATTTATCTAATTTGTATCACGTAGACATATTATTTTCATACCTTTATCACATAACTCATATAACTTTTCTTGCATATTCATGTCCCATAATGCATATGGTATGGATTCATGTCATATATCATAATATGAAATACTATCATGTATCAAAATATTGAATCTAGACTTATCACAAGTCTAGAACTGAATAAAATACATATTCATGCTATGCATATGTACTCACCTAGATTTCTTTGTCTTTCCCTCGATTGATCCTACTTGTTGATGGTTCCGGAACTCGATTAGGCTCAATATTTACATAAGCAAAATTTTCAAGATGATTATCAGATGCCTAAGTCTTGAAATTAACCTCTAATAGCCTACCAAATTAAGGAATTGATAGTTAAGTCTCTCTTTCTTTTTTTTTTTTCATTATGGGGAATCGGTTCCCCCCTGGGTGTATCGATTCCCCTCTAGCATTCTGGAAATTCATATTCGTTTGAGGGGGGGTATCGATTCCCCTTGAATGGGTATCGATTCCCCTAGCCCAGAAATCCTATTTTGAGCTCGAAATTCACTTCATTTCAGCTTAAACCTTCATATTTTACTTCCTTTAATATTCCTAACTTCCATACACATATTTAAACCCATTTCTATTCCATAATCACTTC